TTGAATATGATGTGCTAAGCCTAACTTTCTTTGGATAATACCAAATATACTAACAGATTGAATATGATGTGCTAAGCCTAACTTTTTTGGATAATACCAAATATATCAACAGATTGAATATGATGTGCTAACTATCTTTTCCACCCTTCCAAAGACTGGACAATGAGAATATTTAAAAGCATTTTGTTCACAGTTCTTATCATATAGTTTAGATACTTAGACATGACTGGCAACTCTGATGTTCTTAATGTTTCACTCATAATTTATAGTCATGTATCTTTTAATAAGTTGTTAAAGATGATAAAACCAATGATTTATTGTCCTCTTGCTTAGTGATTATGTTACCATATTTTACTGAAAGAGTTTTCTTGTATTCAAATCATTCTAATTCTATCATCTGTTAAAAATATGGACAGATTTACTTTAAATCTTTCCTTTTTATAAGTAAACTTTCCAAGTCAACCAGCCAAGAGGACAAGACTTTTAAATAATGAGATGACTTGTCTTTCTGACAACATCCGATGACAACTACAGGAGCACTTAACAATGAACTAACTTGTCTGACAACACTATGATGATTTTGTATTTTAAAATCCAGAGATCAGTTAACATGATTTTGTATTTTAAAATCCAGAGACCAGGTAACATGATTTTGTATTTCAAAATCCAGAGACCAGGTAACATGATTTTGTATTTTAAAATCCAGAGACCAGTTAACATGATTTTATATTTTAAAATCCACAGACCAGGTAACATGATTTTATATTTTAAAATCCACAGACCAGGTAACATGATTTTGTATTTTAAAATCCACAGACCAGGTAACATGATTTTGTATTTTAAAATCCACAGACCAGGTAACATGATTTTGTATTTTAAAATCCAGGTAACATGATTTTGTATTTTAAATCCAGAGACCAGGTAACATGATTTAAAACTTTGTGTTTGTTAATCTGTTAGGCTAAAAGTTGCTGCCAAAACATCCACCACTTGGTTTTTAATCGAATTATAAGTCAGTAGCTTCATGGTTTACAAAAATATAAAGAAACATATCATACTTAGCTCTCTACTTTATTTCAATTCTGTATTGCTTTTTTCTTTCAAAATTTTGTTTCATATAAATTATAAACAGAACAATACCCAAAAATAAAAAATATGAGTACCATACAAGTTCTTAAGTGTACAAAATACTAGAAGTAATGTCCATAAGAAATTCAGTTAAATTTACACTACAATTAAAACAAGAAAAAAAAAGACTGTGTAATCAAGTCGACATGCTATACTAATATCAGAAAAACTTTAAGTCATAAAAAAACAGATATGTCATAAGAAAGCACATTTCATAAACAACTATTACGATATGAAAAATATGACACACTCACGATCTGATTCTGGGATGGAACTAGTAATGGAAGAACTGGTGGTAACGGATGGAGGGCGTAATGAATAATCAGCAGCTAGGTGGAATAATGTGAAAAAGTTCTGAATGAATGTCTGGAATAATTTCATTAAACATTAGGACTTTAATCAGTACTCGACCATTTCTTAATAACTACAATATAGTTCATTTAATTCAGATCTCTCTAATTTAAGGAAAATATTACTATATACTGTGTGTTTATTCATTTTAATCTTTCTGTAATACACTTTGAAAGATCTGATTAATTATGAGTCGAAGCAAGGATAACAACTACCTCTCACAGCCTCTGTATGGGCCACCCAGGCACCTGGATCTATTGGTCGGACAGGTTCCGTCCATGGTATCGTGAAGTAGCCTTTAGGGTTAGGATCCCAACATTTTGCTACGACTAACTTTATCGGCCTGAAATAACAGATCATTTGATTTACTCCAGCCTTGCAAAAATATTGACAAGTTAGTAAAGCTAGAGTAAAATTGATTTTATAGAAACTTTCTTGTCTATATAAAACCAGACAAAGCTTGTTTATTTTATTAATATACCTGAGAAAACTTTAAAAAGAAGTTCAAAAATATAATCTTAACAATATAGCTAACCCTGTAGTCAAGCATTAAATCATAATAAAACCAACCATTGTCTAAAATATGCCTCCAATTCAGTGTCCAGGGGATACTTTATGAAACCTAGCTTCAAAGCAGGAGGATTACACAATCCTGTAAGTGGTCGGTAGACATATAAAGCTACTGTTTAACAAACATAAATCCACTAATGTTCAAGGACATGTATTTTTTTGTTGAATTTTGTGCAAAGCTACTCAAGGAGTATTTGAATTATAAACTTGAGGAAGACAACTAATCAAAGCCACCCACTGCCAACTCTTGGGCTACTCTACAAATGAACAGTAGGATTGACCATCACATTACATCCTCTAGGTTGAAAGCATATTTGACAATACGTTTCTATCCCAAACCGTGCAAGTTGCGAGTCGAGTTCCATAAACACCAGGTTGTGTCCAGAAGAATGTTAACCCATTATTGTTCAGGGTTGGGTATATATATATATATATATATATATATATATATATA